TCTCTCTCTCTCTCTCTCTCTCGATTCTTCTTAGGACTCTGGGAAAATCATGGTGGGACTGACATAAATAGTTTCGGGGAGGGGCGCTTGATGCTCAGGAAGGATCCTGGGTGAGGGCGGAAGCCCAAGGACAGAAACCATTTACACGGTGAGACACCCCTCTCCTCACTCCGGGGGTTCCCTGGGGAGTGAATTACTCCCTCCAGTTTCTCAGAAGCAGGGCCTGGGCCCAGTCACACCTGCCTGAGGCCTTTCCAAGCCGCAGTCCTCCCCGAGCCCACGTCATCCTGTGCCCGCATATCTATCTGTGCCATAGGTTTGCCGAACAGGCCGTTTTCATCCTTTTCTGCATGTTCGCCATTCTCCTCTTCTCCCGGGACCCGAAGTTCATCCCTGGTTGGACCAACTACTTCCACCCTGGGTGAGCCTCTGGGGACCCAAGGGATAGAGTCCAGCAGGGCAGATCTTGGGGTGGGCCGCCGGGAGCTAGGGAGGCGGTGCGGCAGGGGGACACCAGGGCTGGGTTTACACCTCTTGTCCCAGGTAATTATTTACGGCTGCTTCTTTTACTCTTAGGAGAGTTTAGGTTTGGCTGGTAAGACAGTTGGGTTCTCCTATGTTAAGGGCTTTGGCTTTGGAATCAAATAAAATTGGGTTCAAATGCCAGCTCTGCCATTTACGTGCTAAGCGTTATATGCTTGATGCGGGCAACACAAATAAAAACAAGTAGTTAGACAACAAAATAACTGCATATTGTAATGAAAGAAAGAGTGAGAAGGTTATATTATGAAAAAATGGGATGGGAGCATTGACTTTGGATAGTTCTGGAAGAACCAAAGGTTAAGAAGAGTACAGGTAAAAACTAGAGACACACTGTGCGTGTTTGCTGAGAGCTCGAAGTAGGAACCAGCTTGGCACATTTGAAGAACTGAAAGAAGCCTGTTGTGACTGAGCCTCGGTGGGAAGGGAAGAAGGTGAGCAAGACGTGGCTGGAAGGGCAGGCAAGGGCCAAATCATGGAGGGTCTTGTTGGACATGTTAAGCATTTTGGTCCTTTTTTTGTTTTTTAATTGAGAGCAATGGGAAGCTTTCGGAGAGTTTTAAGTTATTTCACCTCTCTGCACCTCAGTTTCCTCATCTGTAAAATGGTATCATAATAGTACACTTCTCACTGGATTGTTCTAAGGATAAACGAGTTAACACATGTCATGTGATTAGAATTGTGTATAGGAAGAACTCAGGAAAATGTTTATTATATTTGTTAGGGAATGGATGGTGGAGGCAAAAATACAGGTGGGAAGAACAGTTAGGAACTATAACACTATCTAGGTGACCCGTTGCTTAGGACAGGGGTCTGCAAACTAAGGCTCATGGGCCAAATCTGGCCTACTCTTTGTTTTCAAATGTTTTTTACATTTCTAAATGGTTAGGGAAAATCAAAAGACAATATTTTGTAGCACATCAAAATTATATGACATTCCAATGTCACTAACTACAAATAAAGTTTTATTGCAACACGGTGACACCTATTCATTTACGTATTGTTGTGCCTGCCTTCACGCTACTGTGTCAGAGTTGAGCCATGACAGAGACCACATGCAAGGCCAAAAATGTTTACTGTGTGTCCTTTTACAGTAAAGGAGACATTTGCTGGCCCTGGTCTAGGCCTTCACGGCTTGAATGAAAGTTATAGCAGTGGAGATGGATCAGTCAAGATATATTTCAAAGTGAGAAATAATAGGACTTACTTACAGTTGGATTTGGATGCATGAGGAAAAGAAGTACCTGCAGAGGTGGTGGTTAGTTGGAGAAGAACACTCTTTAAGGAGACTGGGGATGCCTTGTCAACAATTCTATTTTGAACTTAGTTTAGATTTATTAAGTCTAACATGTCTTTTAAATACTGCATTGGGCAGTTGGATGTGCAATCCTAGAACTCAAAGGAAGTCAGACCATCAGACCATCCAATAGAGATCTAATGAGAGCCACATGTGTAATTTAAAAAATTTTAGTAACTGCATTAAAAAAGTCAGAAAAAAACCCCAGATGAATTAATGTGAGTGATTCATTTAACCCACTCAATTATTTCAACATGTAATCCCTATAAAAATTATTTTTGAGAGATTTTACTTCTTTTTCACACTAAATCTTCAAACTCCGGTGTGTATTTTACCCTGCGGCACATCTCACTCTGGTCTTGCCACATTTCAAGTATCCACTAGCTACACGTGGCTGCCGGCCACCCTATCAGATAGAGCAGCTCTACGCACTTCACCTCCGAGCCTCAGTTTCTCCTCTGTGAAATGGACAATGTAAGTTCTGATCTCACGAGGGTTGTTATGAAGAGGAAACAATATGATTTCATGGAGCCAAGAGAAGTGGCTTTTATTACCATTCTTTTTATTTTTTCCAAAATGTAGGTACTTTGTTATTTTTTTCAGATTAAAAAAGAAAATGGGTGTTACAAACATTCCAACAATACAAAGAAAGTGAAGATCACCTAGAATCTCCGTCTCCAGATCTGACATATATCTTTTCTGACTTAAAAAATGCCTGTCTGAGAACTTGCACATCTTGATTGCATTGGCATTTACAGGACTGTGTACATTAGTCAAAACCCATTTAACTATATCCTTTAAGTTGGTGCATTTTATTGCATGTTAATGATACTTCAATGAAACTTATTTTAAAAATACATGCAGATTAGGTAAAAAGAAACCTATCTAAACACAAGATATTTTTTTAACAGAAATGTGATTACAATGAACATATTGTGTTCTGCTTTTTTCTTTTTTGTCTAATTATAAGATGAAAATTCATTATAAAAAATTCTAACAATGCTGAATTGAAAAGTAAAAGTTAGTTGCCTTTTATCTACTCTCTGTCCCTCTCCCCAACAATTATTACAATGAACAGTGTGGTGTGTAAGATTGCAGATATACACACATGCAGACGTATTAATACATACACACAGACATATACGTGGACATATAATAAGATATTGGAAAATACAATAATATGATCATGGACAACTTGCTGTTTTATTCTTTATAAACACTGCATAATATTCTAAAGAATGGGAGCATCTTTATCAACTCATTTTGGTTGTATTTCTATATCATTACATAAAGACTGATATTATATCTTTTTTAAAAAGATGCAGAATATTTCATTACATACGTTATTATATGTGCATTATTAAATGCAATTTATTTAAACTTGTCTCTACTAAAAATCTTATTTTTTTTACTCTTATCGATAATGAACATCCCTGTATATAATCTGTGTACGAGTCCAGTTATGTCCTGAGGATAAATTCCTAAAAGTACAATAACTGGATCAAGGGGCATTCACATGTGAAGTATTGAAACATGCTGCCACCTGCCTTCCAAAACATTAATTGTCCTGTTTATTGTCCTGCCACCCCTGTGTGTTTCTCAACATCCTCATCTGGTATGATCACCCTTTTTAAGTTTGCCTGTCTAGTCACAGAAGAATGGTACTCCATTAGTGTTTTGATGTGTATTCCTCTAATATAGCGATAGGGACCATCTTTTCCAGTTTCTTGGCCATTTGAGCACCCTTCTTCCCAAACATGTGAGCTGAAAAAGCTTTTCTTAGCAGTTGGCTCTGTACTTCATTGAACATGGAGCCAGAAAATGTGGGTTCAATGCCCATCACCTCTATGGAACATGGTCTGGCCTTGAGCGAGTTATTTCTGCTCTTTGAGTCTTGGATTCCTCATCTGACATGGAAGATGCCTGCCCCCGAGGGCTGTTTCTGAGAGCTTAATGTCTCCACAAGACACATGGTAGATCCTTGAAAAACAGTAGTTAGATTTTGAGGAGCTATGAGTCTGGCTTGAACTGGGCTCTGCTGGTGCGAATGGGCTGCATCTCTATGTAGTAAGCTGCCCATCCCAGGAGGAATGCAGGCGGAGGCTGAACAGATACAGGGCTGTTGCCGGAGTCCTTGCGGATTCCACAGACCCCAGTGTTCTGTGGCTCTCAGATTCTTGCCTCTTCGGACCCTGTTCCTAGGGTCCTTGAATTAGGAGGATAAGCAATTATTTGGCTCAAGCAGTGTCCAAACGCCCCAGGGCACTGTAGATAAAGGGCTTTCGCATCCATAGGTGGTTGCACCCATGCTGAGTTCAGTGCAGGACAGAATCCAGAGGCCTCCAACAAGGCCCCTTCACAAAGGCTCTAATTCCTTCCCACCCCCCACAAATCCTCAGTTGTAAATCTGCCAGACCTTGGCCTGCTGAGATGCCTGGGATCACATGCTTTGGGGCCTTGTCATTGTAGGTTTCTTTCTGATGCTGTCACCGGTGTGGCCATTGTCACCATCTTGTTCTTCTTCCCATCCCAAAAGCCCTCCCTCAAGTGGTGGTTTGACTTTAAAGGTAAGGTGGTCAAGGTTGGGATCTCCATGGGCTCAGTGAGGACTGTGGCCTTGGAGGTGGGGCCCACTTCTGGGACCTGACAGGCCCATTGTACGGGCGAGCCACGTGTTTTGCTTCTTTCTGGCCCCTGTCTGAGCAGTTACCTTGTCTGGGCACTTAGGCTGCCAGAAGTCTGAGTGCCGATTCCAGCCGGCTGTGTGCTTTTGAACAGCCCATGAGCTAAGAATGGCTTTCACATTTTTAAATGGTTGAAAAGAATCAAGAGGAAAATATTTCATGACACATAAACATTACATGAAATTCAAATTTCAGTGTCCATAAATAAAGTTTTTAATTTCTTCAATAAGAAATTTGTGGACTTTTATTTTCTTTCGTAAGTACCTATGCAATAGCCTCAATTTTACCTCTTGGCCCACAAAGCCCAAAATATTTATTTTCTTGTCCTTAACAAAAAACTTTGTGTCTACGGCCATGCCACCCTAAACGTGCCTGATCCCGTCTGATCTCGGAAACTAAGCAGGGTCGGGCCTGGTTAGTACTTGGATGGGAGACCACCTAGGAAGACCAGGTGCTGTAGGCGTAAAAAATTAAAAAAATAAGGGGTTGCAAAAACTGACAAAGTCCTTGCAATCTGTGAGGTCAACCAAGGGTTGCCTCGCCTAAAAAACAAACAAACAAACAAAAAAACAACTTTGTGCCCCTGGGCCCAAGGCAGGAGTTGCATCTCAGTTGCCTAAGGGGCCAGACAAATGTCTAGCTGGGTTTAAATAGAAAGCAGTGGAGACGGAGGCAAAAACACCTAAAGGCATTCAAATTCGGCTTAAAAGAATCATTGAGCTCTCCAAACCAAAGAATCTATAGTCTGGCCTTGGCCTTCAGAAGGCCAGTTATGACTCTGTGGTGTTTCCAGCAGGTGTCGGCCAGGAGAAGGTGCCGACACCTGTCATCTGTGACAGAGGCTGTGTCTGGCCTATCTTTATCTGAGGCAGTGGGATGTGCTCTGGACCAGGAGTCAGGAAATAAGGGTTGTAATCTAGTTCCTATTGTTGAAAAAAATAGAGTATTACGTGGGGTAGCTCCCGAGTCGGAGGAGTGGGGGTTTGAGTGTGGGGAGTACAGCGGAAGGATCAGTAGGGGTCAGTCGGGAGAGCCGGACCTCCAGGAGGCTAGTGCTGGGTTGAGGAGGCTTGGCTGTGGGCTTTGGGACTCTGAGATTGAACAGGACTCATTCCCTTCCTCCATTTCTGCTTCTCTGTCTTGCTTCCAAATGACTCTTCCCACCCTCCACTCTGTGCATCATTTCTTGGTCTTTTCAGAGTTTTTCTACTGCGTCTTAGCTCTTGCATCTTTATAGCTTCTTCATTACAGATTCTGCTTTTTTTATAACTTCTGTTCCCTTGTAGCATCTACCCCGCCCCGCCCCCCCCCGTAATGCCCACTCCCTCATTGCATTCGTTCCCACAGCTTCTGCTACTTCTCACCACCTCAGCGTCTGTCCCTCGCAGCTCCTAGTCCCACACCCTTTCTCCTTCCTCGGCGTCTACTCTGCTTCCTCAGTTTCCCCTTCCTCCTGTCTACTTCCTCACAATTTCCGCTTCTTCCCAGAACTTCAGCCCCCTCATGCCCCTCCTGTGTCACGTGGCCTCTCTGTTCTTCCACCTTTAGTGATCACTTCCCTTTGCCTGTTGTCTCTCTGCTTCCCAGGGATGCTTCTGAAAGTAAGGATCTGTTTGGTCTGACTTATTCTCATTTGGGCAGATCTTCCCCCGCCCAAGGCTACCTCATAGCCTCACAGATTCCTGGTCAGCCTGTGGATTGGCTGCTCTTGATTAGGTCCCATCCATGGTTCTGTCATCTGTGGGTGGGCTCATAAGACCCAGAGCTGCTTCTTGTCTGGGGCTGTGAGGAGGACACCATGACATAGATGTCTGGTTTCCCAGCTCTGTCACTATATCCTCTGGGCTTTGCTTTTCCACTTAAAAATGAGCAGGTCCCTTAGACACTTTTCGCCTCTGGCTTTAGGAGTTCTACAGAAGGCGGAGTTGCAAACTCAAATGCCTACAGGAAGATAACATTGATGTAGGCAGCAGATCGGGTGCAGGAAAGCGTTTCATGAAACGCGGCCCTCCCTGTCCATCTTTCCTTTCACATTTTTAAAACAGAGAACAGTTTCCGTATTACAGGAAAAAAAATGGCAACAGAGGATGACAGTAAGTGGCAAGACCCTGTGGAAAGCAGAGTTTCATGGGAAAACTGTCACACGTTCATGTATGTTTTGTACATGGCTGCTTCATGTCCAGTGGCAGCCTAGTAGCCACAGAGGCTGTGAAGCTTAAATTATCCACTCTCTAACTCTTTACAGAAAAAATTTGCTGACGCCCCTGTTCTAACCACTGCACATACTGCCGCTTTTGAAAACTTAAAATTCCTCCCATAATTCTATGCGCTAAAGATTCTCTCGGTTTCTATTCTCCCGAATTTCCTTCCTCTTTGTTTCCTCTCTGTACAGATCCAATTACAAAGAGAGCCTTTTGTCTTGTGTGAGGATAAAAGTAACACCCAGAAGGGCTGCTGAGAGATTTAAAGGATGCCCTGCACAGGGAGTGCCTGGTTCCAGGAGATTCTCAAGCTGGGGGAGCCATGCAAACGGTTTTCATTCTGAATAGAGCAGACACCCCATGATTCTTGTGAGTTTTTTCCTTAAAGGGCCAAAATCAGTTGCCAAAATCACGGCTTCCTGGAGAACTCTGAGTGTTCCCACAAAGATAGGCTGCAGGGACTGGTGTCCCCTCCTGTGACTGAGTGTCCTGAGTGTGTGGGGGTCTCCCTCTCTGCCCAACGGACCCGTGTCCCCTCCTCAGGCTGCGTGTCTTCCTTCTTTCTGCCCAGCTCCCAACACAGAGACAGAGCCCCTGCTGACTTGGAAGAAGGCCCAGGACTCGGTGCCCTGGAACATCATGCTTCTCCTGGGCGGGGGCTTCGCCATGGCCAAAGGCTGTGAGGTAAGAGCGGCAGGAGGGCTGCAGACCCCGGGCAGGGTGGGCAGGTCCCAGTCCCGGCTTCAGGCTCAGCATCAGAGCGAGCACGTGCACGGGCCCCGCAGACGCCACTGCGTTCTCGTTTGCGCGTTGGCGTTATCAGAGCTCCCATCTCAGTGCCTGGTGCTGCGGAGAAAGAGAGGACTAGGTGTGGCCTGGACCCTCAAGGAGTTCAAGGTCGACATAACGCTAATGCCGCTACTACTAGCGCCGTGGCTGGAGGACTCAGTGAACGCCGAGGAGCATCATCACGCTGTGCTCCTCCTGTGTCGGGCACGGTCGGACGGGCTTTACACGTATTAACTGATTTAAACTTCCCAACAAGCCTAGGAGAGAGAGCCGTCATTATCCCCATTCTATAGATTAGGAAGCTGAGGCACAGAGACGCGAAGTAACTCCCCTAAAGTCATACAGCTGTGTACCAGGATTTGAACCCAGGTAGTTTGGCTCTAGAGTCTATGCCCTTAGCCACTGTGATATAAACGTCAGATGTTATTAATTAATTATTGTTAATGTTATTCTAGAGGGCTCTGTGAGCTGAGAGGCAGGGCTGGGACTAGAGTGAGGTGAGTGTGGCACCTGGGGTGCAGAATTTTAGGAGGTGCTGTCTCTCAGGGTTGTGGGCCCTGCTCAGAGGAAGTGCAGCTTCAGTATCCAATATGTATTATAATGTATTATCTCATTAAACCCTTACACAGACATATAAGGCCTAGATAATATTTTATACTCCCCACCCCCCACCCCCCGCCATTTGACAGGTAGGAAAACTGAGGCAAGGAAAAATCATACAAATGTCTTAAGGTCATACGATTGCACTCTGCTTAGGAGCTGGGGTTCGAACTCCCGCTGATCCACTTTCAGAGTCTAGGCTCCTAATGGGTCATTCTTGAGAACTTCCCAAGTGCCAGGCACCGCTTGAAGCACTTTACAAATCCTGACTCCATTATTCTTCATAAACACCGCTGATGTAAATGCTATTACTGTCTCATTCCAAAGGGGAGGGAACAGGTAACTCGAAGCTGAATAGCTTTGCCTGTATTGTGCAATCGGGATTTGAACCCACAGCTGATGGTGCTGGGCTCTGCCGGCCCCTAAATCGCTCCTTGTAAATTGACACATTCAAAACCAATTAAGGTCAATCTGAAATTAAGGTGAAGGAAACCTGAAATTACTTCTCAGATTACTTTCTTTTTAAATTCAATTAAAAATTCCAGGTTCAAATAGTGTTACAGTATAAGACACTGATTAAGGTGTGTGCTGGTCAGCAGCCCAGGCGCAGGTATCCGAGTACCTGGATTCAAATCCAAGCCCTACCACTCCTCGCTGGGCACCTCGGGCAAGTTCCTTAACCTCTCTGGGCACCAGTTTTCTTGTCTGTCAGTTGGCTCAAAGTTCTTACTCTGCAGAGTTGTTGGAAGTCATTAAAGGAGATAATGCTGATAACTCCGTAGCAAACAGGAAGTGCTTAGAAATCCTCGTGCATCCTTATACCATGGTTAGTGCGGGTTCTGCTTCTGGGAAGAAGACTCTGAGATGAAGACAAGAGCAGAGGGTTTATTAGGTTATTAGGTGACCTTGAGGTCGCCTCCTGTGGAAGGAGCAGGAAGGAAGCAAGAGAGGGCAGGGGGGGAAGCACAGCTGTGAGGCCAACCTGCGAAGCCTCCACGAACCCCATAGGGAGCTCCGATCTGAGGCGGCCCTTCAGAAACATGCAGTCGATCTGAGGCGGCCGGGCCTTTGTGTCCGGGCTTCCGTCCACCCGTCTGCGGACGTGAGCCACCCTGGGAGTGGGTATGACCCCGGGCAAGGTCAGGGGCTGACAGTGAAGGCTGCCTGCTGCCCACACTGTCCTCATGGAAGGGGGGTCTGGGTGGCTGACATATTCGAGTTCTCTACACAGCTACTCTTTTTTTGTAAAGTACATTTTTATTTTATTTATTTATTTCTCAATAAATAACACACGGACAACGGTACAGACTTCAAAAGAAGCCAAAGGATAGATTAGCAAAAGTACTGTTGTCTCCAAAGATCAGAGAGGTTAAGTGACTGATTCTAGGTAACACAGCTCATAAGCAGCAGAGCTGGGATTTGAGCTGTCTGTCTGCTTCTCTCACTACTGCCTCTACTGGAGATTTTAAGGAAGGCAGCTCGGAGGAAGCAGCGTGTTATGTAGGCCTTAAGGAGACCACCAATGCAATGGTGGAAAGCATAGGCTAGGAACCAGACCACGTGGGTTGGAGTCACAGATCTTTCAGCTCTTAGCCATGTGCCTCAGGTTCCTCTTCTGTGTAATGAGAATAATAATGGTTGCCATCACATAGAGTTATAACAATTATGAAATGAGTCGATACATGTGGAGAACTTAGAATGTAGCCCGGTATAGTTAGTTATTATAATTGGATGTTGGGGAAAGGGGCAAATCGGAATCAAGGATGACACAGAGGCTCTTGTCCTGAGCAACTCTGTGGAAATGGTACCATTTACTGAGATGCACCCGGCCTGGCCCTGAGACAGCGGCAGGGGGCAGAGGGATGACCTGTACCGTAGAGGCTACTCCGAGTTCAGGGTGCAGTGTGCAAAGCCTGTCCCTCAGTGAGGGCTAGGCTGCAGAACTGCCGAGCACGCCGGGAGGCCAGTCTGGATCCTGGCCCGGCCCTGGGCAGCCAGCCGGGGTTTCTGTTCAACGAAGGCTTTGTGTGGCAGCTGTCCCCTTCCCCCAGTTCCTACTGGTACCGTCCCCTCCCCGGGCAGTGCAGCCTGCCCCAGAGGGACCAGAATGCACATGGCACACCCTGCTTCCTAGCCCCTGCCCAGTCCCCTTGCCAGGCCGCAGTGGCTTTCTGCAGCTTAGAGGTCCTTGGATGGGGCCCACGATGAGCCTCAATGTGTGGATTCCCATGTGCTGGTTCTGAATGTCTGGAAGCAGATCCCAGGGCTTACTCTGAGCTTGGGCAACTTGCTTACACCTGCTAGTGTTCTCACCAGTTTTCCCCATACACTTAGGCTCTAGCCTGAAGGCTTCCACTGGCCTACACGCAAGGACCAGCATGGCCCGGCCACGCCCACCTCCCTGACATCAGCTCTTATCTCTCTCCTCTAGTCGACCCCGCTTGTCCCACCCTAGATTCGTTTGCACCCCAGGACCTTTGCCTTGCTTTCTCTCCACTGAATGCTCTCTCCCGAAATCTGAGTCCTCGCCCTTCAGGTCCCAACTCCAAGGTCACCAACACAGAAAAGACCTCCTGGCCAACATATCTAAAATAGCCTCTCCACATACATATTCTCCCTCCCATCATTCTGCTTATACCAGATCAGCTCTCCAAATGATCCTGCTCATTTGTTTGTTTATTGGTGTCTCTCTTACTGGAATGTCGTTTCCATGAGGGAAAGGATCATATCCTCCTTATCCACCACTGTTCCAGGCACCTAGAAAGGTCCTGGTATATAACATGCTCGCTCAATAAATATTTGCTGCACATGACCTATAAGAAGGGATGTTTTGAGGATTGCTGACGCGATCAATGTACAAAAAGTGCCCGGCGGAGGGCTGACACGTTCCAGGTGCTAAAGCTGGGCGCCACTATCGACCTCACTACTTGTATTGTTATAATTTTATTATCTCATGGATAAAAAGCTTCATGTATATCTCATTTAATCTCCACCCCAACAAACTCGTCTACAAATATATTGAGGTGATTGAAGGTTGTTATAAATCAGAGTAGAGTAAGCCCTGCAGGCAAGCAGAAACGTGTGTCTTCTCTCTCTTCCCTCATTTTCTGAAATTTTTTACTATTATTATTATTAATTATTATTATTATTATTATTATTTTAATTGGAGAAGCAGCCTAATGAAATGATTAAGAGCCAGATTCTGACCTCAGAATTCCAGTCCTAGGGCAAGTCATCTCACTTAATTGGACAAATCACAGCCTCTTTGTGCCTCAGATTCTTCAATCTTAACATGGATGGAATTATACTACTTACCTTTTGGGGTCGACATGAAGATTGAATAAGTTAATGTTAGCAAAGTACGTAGAAGAGTGACCAGCACAGAGTAAGTGCCGTAAGCGTTGTTAAATTAGATAAATAATAATAAATCGTATTCAGTGCTCACTATGTACAAGGACTATTTTCATGTGTACTTGTTTGATCCTTACCACAACCCCTGGAAGGACTCAAGGAACAGAGATGTTCATTAATTTGCCCAAGATCACACAGCTTATAAGCAGTACAAAAGTGTGAATGTTCACCTCGTGTATGAAGCCTTCTCTTTTTTCTTTCCTTTAATCAACTTCACTCACTCTCTTCTGCCTAAGAATACAGAGTCGTACGCGGCCAAGCCTACCGTGTTTTACGAGCCTTGTAAGAGATTTTCAAGGGTGCTTTCTATTGAGATTTCAACTTTGAACATTTAACTTATACCATAACACCCTCCTTTTGAGATGCGACCCTACTATGTATCAAAGAGATATAGAAGAGGACCTGATTGAAGTGAGAAAGGAGAAGGAAGAGGGGGCATCATTCTGCCAGCTCAACCTCCCCCTCCCGTCCTGCAGCGTGGCTTCAGCCACCTCCTGGCATCTTTGCAGGTCACAGTTTGGCGACCACCGCACTGGGCAATTTCTGAGTGTTCTTCCACCTCTGGCATCTCATGATTTGATGCTACTAAGGACAGCCGCATGCACTGGACATATACCAGGTGCCCAAGCACTTTGCTAAGCACTTTATAAGACTGGCTCCTTTTCTCCCAATAATAACCATCTGGGACCGGTACCGTTATATCCCCACTTACAGATAAGTTGAGGCACAGAGAAGTTAAGTTACTTGAGCAGGATGACACAGCTGGAAAGGATTAAGATGGAGAACACGGTTTGACTTCAGAGCCTTTTCTCCTCAACCTCTGGCCATACCTCCTCTGACCTTGCCTGTTGCTGGTCCCAGCATCCCTAGGACACTGTGGGGCTGTATGTTTCCAAGGAAACAGAGCTTCCTATTCTTAAGGGAATAGGAATGGGCAGGTCCTCAAAAGAACCTCGGGCAGCTGGGGGGGTCTCCTCTCTCATGAAGCTGCCAGACCTCCTTCTGGCTGCAGAAGCTGAGCCTAGGACATGAGTGGCGGCTGGGATGTTGGCTGGAAGCCCATCATCCAAAGGCCTGGCTACAGGGTAGTGCCTGGCTTCTCATTTACCCAAGTCATTAATATTCCCTCTCTCCAGCCCCTCTTCCTTTAATTGCACACACTGCTGTCCATCTCTTTGCCAGGGCTGTGGCTTCTGGGAAAAACCATTGGCCCCATTTTTTTTCAGGGTTCCCTGGGCCAAGGGAGGGGCTGGAACCTCAACTCTGCCATGTGCCATAATTTCTAGGCTATCAGACAAACAGTGGAGATGTAAAAGAAGCACTTTTATTTTACAAGGTGTCTTCTAGGGAAAAACATCTTTAAGCATTATTGTTTGCTCCCTGAAGGTAGGTTTAAAGTCAAATTGTAGGGACAAATGTATTACTTCATTTCTATAAAAACGGTATGCTATGTTCTAGAATCCATTAGGAAATTTGAAGTTCCAGATAGGCAGTAAATTTTCTATTAAACATAAAACATATATACAAAGTTTCTTTGATAAACCGAAGTATTTTTGTACCAGAGAGTCCTGGGTTGATAAAAGACCTATGGTAGGCATACACTTGATTCCAAATTTAGGGAACTTATCCAGCTCTTCCCTCCATCAACATCTAAGACTACGGCTTTGCTATCTTTAAGAAAACGACCTACGGGATGCGACCTTGTAGGTTTATTGAGATATTGTTAAATGGCACCACCAGGGGGTAGCATCGAGCACAATTTTACATTTACAGTTTTGCCTCTTTGGGGTCGTAATGAAAGTGTACTGAACTTCGGGTTAATTAAAGATATATGTGATTGGCAGGAGGGCAGAGCTGTTGGAGAGTATACATATTATATATTCATAAATAGAGTAACCCCTGGAGAAGTCAGTGGAGAGAGCGTGGAGATAATTCTACAGCATTGATGGCAGGGTGGAGTCTGGAGCCAGGGAGGGGACAATCTAACCCATCGTTTCTCTGTCCTGGGGGGCTGTGGTTAGCTCTGGGCATTACTCTTCATTAAGAGTGGAGGTGACAGACTGATGTGTCCAGAGGAGGGTACCCAGGTGACGGGGAGCTTTGCAGGAGCCTATTAGCTTACAGAAGTACACGACCCCGAGTGAGAAATACATCTCAGGCATTACATTTGGGGACCATGGGCATCACAGAAACTTTGCCAGGCTCAGGTTCCCCCTCCTCTGTAACACAGGGATGAGTGTCTACCTTACGGGATGGGTGGGAGGAGTCAAGGAGGTAATGAGCGCAGGTGTCTGGCAGCCTATAAAGCCTCCATAATGGTGATTCTTATGATAATGAATAACAATGCAATGTTAATAATGTTAATATTGGTGTTATTTTAATAATTTTCCTTCTTACTGATCATAAATACCTTTATTATTGATAATCATTTTGATAGTGTTGTATTTAATATACACCTGATACACATTTTAGCGTATATATGACATCTAGTATATTTTGTGTATATAATGTATTTGATGCATATTAATATGTTACATAATAATTATAAGATTAATATTTTATATAATTGTGTTCGTATTTTAAAAATTCATAACCATCATTGGAGGAATGGAGAGATTTATCACGGAGTGTCCAATTGCTTTTCCCCATTTGATATAGAGCTTAGGGGTGCTAGACTCCAATACATTATTTGGCGAGCCAAATGAATTGTTTGAAGACCCAAATGAATTGTTTGAAGACCTAAGGGTTTAGGCCCTGGGCCTATAGAATATGGAATAGAGAAGAGTTCAAGAAGCAGAGAAGCTGATTCAAGTTCAGGCTTGAATGTGTGACCTCGGACATGTCATGTACCCCTCTGAACCTCAGGCTCCCCATCCGTGAAGGGGTTTTGTCGTCATCATTGCAATTGATCCCAACCCTCCCTCACGGGCGCAGTGCTCAGGGGTGGCAGCTGGGGGTGGGCTGGGATGTGAAAAGATGCCCCTAGCCTCCTCCCCTCTGCAGGTATCGGGGCTGTCTGTGTGGATCAGTAACCAGCTGCACCCCCTGGAGAACATGCCACCCGCCCTGGCCGTGCTGCTCATCACTGTAGTTGTCGCCTTCTTCACCGAGTTTGCCAGCAACACAGCCACCATCATCATCTTCCTGCCCGTCCTGGCAGAGCTGGTGAGGGTCCTCCTGGGGAAGGTGTGGGAGGAAAGGAAGAGCACCCACCCCCCCCCACCCCCAACGCAGGTCAGAACTCTCTCCCTGGCTAGTGGGAGCTCCATCGGGGAGCTCCATTTGTCATTGCTCTTTTCCAAAATGTGTGAAAAGTGTCAGCATTAAAAAATATATACTATATATATATACTATTTTTTAAAATACACAAACAGGGTGAATATTTTCAAAGCGACTGAATTCTCTCCTTTGGAAAGTTTTCTAGGAAAATATAAATGACCAAATTTGGATTAAGCAGAAGTAGAACATCTGAGTAGTCAAACTGGAGAAATTCTAATGAGCACAGCTCTGTTCCCCCTCTAGAGCCTGGATTCTCGGCACTCTTGACATTTGGGGTCAGTGATGGAAACAGTCCCGGGCACTGTAGAAGGTTTAGCAGCACCCCTGGCCTCTACCCACTGGGTGCCAGTAGCATTCTCCGAAATCATGACCATCAAAAATGTCTTCAGACATTGCCGAATGTCCCCCAGAAGGACAAAATCATCCCCAGTTGAAGCCCACTGCTCTAAAAGTCCCCAGCCCTGGGGAGTTGGCTAGGTGAGAGCTAAGACCTTCAGGGAACAGGTAATCCCCACCTACCCAAGTATTCCTGACCACAAAAAGGTAGAGAAAACCAGTCGATCTTGGTTTAGGGTTAGTAAAACCTCAACACCAAAAGCAAACGGAAAAAAGTCATAACTCAACCGCAATGTAAACGAAGAAGCAAATAGAGAAATGAATCCAGGATAGTGTGCGAAGAACAGTTCGTGATCAAGTAGAGTTTATATTAGGAATTTCAAAAGTGATTAACATGAGAAACTATTGATACAGCTTTACATTTAAATAGATTAAAGGAGACCAAACCATTTGATGATCTCAAATAGGATCCAAAATGGATCAAATTAAATCAGCGTTAGGAGTATGTGCTCTGTATGCAAACAGTGATATACCAGGCATGCTTGTCTGAACCACTTCATTTCTGTTTATTTATGCCTCAATTATCATGGCGATCACACTGTATTTGCATACACAGAGATACACTTTATTCTTTGTCAATGACTGAAGAAGATTCTATTATGAATTGGTAGTCGTCGATTTGTTTACGCCATCTTTTTCCAGCCTTTGCTATTATCCAAAAATGCTGCCTCCACCTTTCCCTGTGCACCTTTGGTGACATCTAGATACATTCCTAGAGCTGAGATCCCTGGATTAAAGAGCAGATACAGTGACTATTCTGTTAGATATGGGTAAATTGCCTTCCAAAGTGGGTGTGCCATTTTACGCTCCCACCTGCAATATGGGGGGGAGGGGGTCCCCATCCCCTTGCTAAGTGTGATGAGATTTAATTACACCCTTCCCCAGGATCTGAGGGACCTGGCAATTGAGAGAGATGTGGGGAGAGGAGAAGAAGCATAGAGCCCCTTCAGGGGCTGCTGTGCTAGAGAAGCCACTAGCATCTGGCACATTCTTCTAAATGTTGCTTACCATCAAAATCAAAAAGTATGACACACAAGGGGTGATTTTAGTGCATTTTGAGAAAACGTCTATGCTCTGGGTTGCAAAAATTCCCTAGAGGAGTCTAAAATATCCTATCTTAAATAAAATTCTGGAGAAGCGATCCCCATGAATTGTAGGTAAATATGTCATTGGGGGAGATGACAAACTGGTGACCCAATATCTGAGGCCAACTCACAGCTGCGTCTGATCCACAGTCTTAGAAATTTGGAAATGTTTGCCAACAGATGCCACCTTGAGCTCTCTATCCCTGAAGTCCAGTGAGGCCCCAGGGAAAGCTGCCCAGAACCCAGCTGTTTGGACTGTTTGGCTGAGAGCAGGACCAGGCAGGGGGCTTGTGATTGCATAGCATCTGCATCACCTGTCAGAAATGCAGATCCTCAAGGGCCCCTCAGACCTGCCGAATTAGCAACTCTGGGTGCTGCGGGGCCAGTTCCCAGCTGATTCTGATGCACGTTCAAGTTGGAGAAGTTTTCTAGATAAATCTCCACAGCCCACTCTCCCTGACGACCCTGCAGGATGGTCCCGGAATGTCACTAACCTTGAGAATGTTCTCTCCACCGTGCCTCCCTTGGTCTGGTTCTTTCCTGCCTGTCTGTCTCTGTCTGCATATTGTATCTCTGTTTTCTGGGTATTGGTGTTTCTGGATGCATTTCTCGTTGTCTGTCTCTAAATCTGTCTCCTCATGTGTATCTATTGCTGGCTCTCACTCTGCTAATTTCTGTCTGTGTGTCTTTGTCTCTCTGTCTCCATGTTACTCTCCTTCCAACTGGCTCCCTCTCTTGTGGTTTCTCTATATTTCTCTGTGTCTTGGTCTCTCCCGCTTGTGGGCCCAGGCCATCCGCCTCAGAGTGCACCCCCTGTACCTGATGATTCCTGGCACCGTTGGCTGCTCCTACGCCTTCATGCTCCCAGTCTCAACGCCCCCCAACTCAATCGCCTTCGCCTCTGGACACTTGCTGGTCAAAGACATGGTGAGTCTGGATATTTCCTAGCAGAGCCCAGAGAGGGGGACGGACACCAGGTGGTGGGCAAGGTATCCAGGCAGGATTCTTGCTTCCTCCTGCCACCATCGCCCAGTTTCTGAATAGGTCATTCCGCGAGGGAGCAGGAAGACATGTTTTAGCAAACACTCTGGGGTGATTCGTGCACTTCGACAATTTCAGGAAACGCTGCCTAAACAAACTTTCCAAAGTTTGCTTCAGGGATGAGGGACTTTTCCCTCTTTCTGGGCACTGCTCTCTCTTCTTACTTGTTTGGCCAACTGCTGTGCCCAGAATTTTTAGGAGATGGGGTAGCAGTCCACACCCTGGGACATAGAGGCGGGCCTCAGTGCCCGGCCAGCCCAGGGAATGAGACAGAAGCCCAGGATTGTGGCAGTGAAGGGAACTCACGAGCGTTCAGCGCGGCGCAGCCCCCGGGCGGCGTGTTTCCTCTCCCCCACGTCCTCTGATAAATCATCCTCTTCTCTCATCCTCCTCCAGCTTCCTGCTGCCTCTTCCCCCTCCATCTGCTGCCTGGGGCATGTGTACACGGGACACTCAGAACGCAAATGACCCTTCCTAAGCTGTTACAACCAAGAAGGGTGATCTGCTTAACTAGTTGATGATGCAGGCTTTCCAGGCTCAGAGACCCTAGCAGGATACATGGAGAGAAAGAGAGAAGGAGAGAACCAGAATGAGAGGCAGAAAGAGATCGCAAATCGAACGGAGAGTAATGATGTAGGTGTTAAGTACCTAAGGGGGGCCTTAGCAGGTGTTTTGAGCCAGGCTCCCAGGACCCCGGAAAAGGAAGACCCAAGCCTCCTCCCAGCTCCCCCAAAGCTTTGGCCAGCCTCCTTCTAGTCCTCCGAACTTGCCAGCAGTTTTAAGAACCCCCTAGAACAGAGGCAGTTTCCTGACCTTAACATGTGGCCTCCCCTCCCTTCATGATGTATGCCCTCTCCACGAACCATCGGGGTAATATTCATTTCACAGTTCTACTAATTCAACTTATATTTTTTTAAAAAATTAAATAAATAATAGTATTTCAATAGAAAAGTTTCCAATGCACGTGTAAATGGAAAGCCATCATTGCATGCCGTGGAAGGTAAGTCTAAAAATAAATGCAAAGAAGAGCAACGTAATGAAATTCTCTCTGATAACAGTTGCCTGGAGGAGGTTCTGAATCCCTGCTTGTTAAAAAGGATGATTGGCAAGGAGAAGATTAGCATTAAGGGCTTGGTAACACCCAAGGGAGACTTTCTCTTTGAGGAATAGATTCGAAAAGGAATTGAAAAGGGAGTCGCTTTCATCAGGCGATTCATAGCTGGGCAGTGCTAGGGTGGAATGACCAGACAGCCCAGCTGGGAAGCAGGGATTTTCAGCCCGAGGTTGGACTGCAAGGTGCAAGGGGTCAGCCTGGGGAAGGGAGCACAGGGCGACTCTTTCCAGCTCCTTAAAGGAGTAAACATATCTGGAAGGAAAATTCTTCCCAATAAACAAGGATTGCCTTAACTGGATATGCTGTGTGTGTGTGTGTGTGTGTGTGTGTGTGTGTGTGTGTGTGTGTGTGAGAGGAGAGAGAGAGAGAGAGAGAGAGAGAGAGAGAGCGAGCGAGCAAGCGCGAGCGCGCGCATGTGTGTGGTGGGGGGTGTTTAATGATCAAATCAGATTATTTTCAAGTTCTCTGAGTCTCATTTTCCCCTTTGGTAAAATGGGAATGACGATGATGATAACCCTTGTAGCGTTGCTTTCAGGGTGAAATGACCTTATGACAACTGCAGGCACCTGGCACTTAGAAACCACTTAAGAAATGGGGACATTTTCGGCTCTTTGAAGGACAGTCTAGGATAGTGTAAAGATGAAACGGTCTCGGGCATCGCCTGACCTGGTTTTGGGCAAACAACTGCCTGACACAGCCTGGGTTTTCCCATCTGTAAGATGGGCCTCAAGCTGACCCTGCCCTTGGTCCACGCTCTGTTTCAGGTGCGGACAGGCTTCCTGATGAACCTGATGGGCGTCCTCCTGCTCAACTTGGCCATAAATACTTGGGCACAGACCATCTTCCAGCTGGGCACTTTCCCGGACTGGGCCCACAACCACTCGGCCACTGTCACGGAGCTATCATCTGCCTTGGTCAACAACTCATTTCAGGCCCTCTGAGTCCTTCCTGGAGATTCTCTTTGGGCTGGGCCCTCCCAGAAGGCTTCTGCCATCACCTGCTGCTCGGGTCATACCGTTCCTCTCGGTGATCCTGTATGCAGCAAATGAGGGTGACCTCCAAGGGTCCACTCGGGCCAGCAGGTTCATTATCCAGGACACCTTCTCCTCTCTCATGCATTTCAGGGCCCAGATATTTCCCAGATCTGCTGCCTGAGAGAAAGCTCCTTTATCTCTGAGCTGATATATGGTTAGGATGCAAGAGAGCCCAATTTCAGCAATAACAAGCAAACCTAGAATGGCTTTTGTCTTGAACAGTCGGGATGGGAAGCCATCCATCCCCATGGGCATAGCTAACCTTCCCCACTGACTAAGTTTCACTCTGGAGAGACCGTCTTGCCTTTAGGGGTCACCTCCCTTGGTGTTCCAGCTGTTCCAGCTGTTCACAGCCGCATGTGGCCCACGGAGACTCCGTGTCGCTGGCTACTTCCTGTTTAGCAGCTGGTCTTTACCTACCAGCTGCCCCACGTGGTCAGCATGTTTGATTAGCAAAGGCCACGTTTTTCAGGGGTGAGAGAAAAGTCAAAAGATAAATGGGAACCTTGTAAAAGGCTGGGATGAAATATCTCAGGCAGGCAAAGCGTCGTATTCTTCTTCTACTGAGACTTCCCTTAAGCCAGTGGCTGGTGGGGGCCTCTAGGGGATTCGCTCGCTCTTGGTTTCAGGCAGAAGCATCTGGACATCCCCAGTGCACAGCACAGTATTGGGCCCGGTGGATGCTCAGGAAGTGTCTGTGGAACAAGTTGGCCCAGCGTTAGCATGGCACTGGAAAAGGTGCCACCTGAGGGGCCGGAAGCCTCACATCGCCCCTTCCTGTGCCTCTGAGGGATGCTGTTCCCCAGCCATGTGGGCAGGATAGCACGAGTGAGTCATGGATGATTCTCTGGGAGCGGGGGCGGGGGGGGTGGAGAGAGGAGAGATCCTGCTGAGCTGGAGGCTGAGCCCCATCTCCTTCTCACATGAATAGTACTTCAGTGGTTAGTCACAGTCACAGCCCGCAGTGGGTTGGGGGATGGTGCACGCCTGTGGGACAGGGGAAGAGAGAATTTCCTTCACAGAGAAGCCCATGGGATTTGTAACTAGGTGAATCATGACATCTCATGCTTCTGATTGAAAATGCTATAAAATAAAGAATGCTAATCGACACTGGCCCTGGAGATTTTTTGCCTTTCTGGGTATAAAAGCTTTAAAGCCCCAAATTCCTGAGCTGGGGGTTCGAGAGAACTGACCTCCCCAACCTCACTGTCATACTGTTCTCCCCTCTCTGCTCCACTCCAGCCACACACTCAAGCTCTCCTGCCTCAGGGCCTTGGAACGTGCTGTTCTCTTGTCCTAGGATGCTTTGCTTCCATATATATGCTTGTTTCCTCACGTTATTCAGGTCGCTGCTCAAATGTCACCTCCCCAGAGAAGCTTCCCTAACAATCCGGTCTAAAATATCATCCTCATTACTCTCTGTCTCCTTTTGCTGCTATATTTTCATAGTATTTAGTCAAGATACTGTATTATTTATTTTCTTTCTTGTTTATTGAATTTCTCTCCCTCTAGAATATAGCCTTAGTCTACAAACTTAATTTTATTCAATGCTATAACTCCACTACAGTTTCTGACACAGAGCACATATTCAGTAAATATTTGATGAATGAATCTATACCAGAATTTATGAGAAAGCAATCCCACCCTCCAATCTTGGGTCTGGTGGGTGCATTTCTTTGCTTGCTCATTCTTCCCTTTATTCATTGAATTATATTTATTTAGAAACTGATCATGTGCTCATTTGCTGTCCCCACCCACATAGAACTTACATTCTAGCTGAGGAGATAGGCAGCAGGCAAGTAAACAAGTAAAATGACTCTGGGTTATGATGCGGGCTAAGAAAAAATGAGACCGGCCAATGTGGCAAACTGGCTCAGAGGCTACTTTAGCCGGGCGATCAGGGCGGACTTCTCTGAGGAGGTGGCACTGGACTGAAACAAGAAGGAGTCAGCCGTGTGCTCATGGAGGTGAGGGATGATGGGGCATGGCAAGGGTAGTGCACAGTCATTGCAAATATACCAGGGACTCAAATATAAGTCCCCATCTAAAATATGTGAAGAGCACCCAGAAGTCAGAAGAGACAAAAATACAACAAAACACCCGTTTTGGTTACCTGTGGCTACATAACAAGTCACCCCCAAAATCAGGGCCTTAAAATACAATTTATTGGTTCACGTTTCTTCATTTGGACAAAGTTCTGCAGAGATGGTTTTGTTTCTGCTCTATGTAGTGTGGCTGGGGCCACATGGCTGTGAATTTAGCTGGAGCTGGAATTTCCACCATAACTATGGGCCCTCCGGGATCTTGCGGCTTCTCCAGGAGTCTAGCCTGGACCTCTCTACCTGACAGTGGACTTCTAGGAAGGCAAAAGCAGAAGCTGCAAGACCCTTTAAGGCCGGGCTTAGGAGTCCAAGAACATTGATTCTTCCACATTCCATTGGTCAAAGCGGGTCACAGGTTAGCCTAGCTCACGGGGAGGAAATACACTCCACTCCGTGTTGGGAGCAGTGGCATTCACGTGCAGGGGACAGGATGGTTCGCTGCCATCTTTGGAAGTCTTCTACCATAACACCCGAGGGAAAGAAATGAATATGCCATTCTGAAAAGGGATATCTAAATGTCCAACCGGTTTACAAAGAGATCTCAAACACACTTCTCATCAGATACATGCAAGTTAAACCCACGTGTCATCAGAGAAATGCAAGTTACGCAGAGATTTAACAATATACCAATCAGACTGGCAAAAACTAGAAAAGTGGACAAATAAGTGATGGTGAGATGGGAGGAAACAAAAGCCCTTGTGTTCTGCTGGTGAGACTATCAGCCTGACAAGCAACTTGGCAGTAATTAGAGAAATTCATTATCTGCCCTCCCTATGCCCTGTTATGCCCTACTCCTGGGTTTATATCCCAGCAGCATGGACCCCTGAGGAGATGCTATAGGAGGGTATTTGCTGCTTAAGGGGCCGAGGAGCTGGAGGCCAACTAGATGACCATCACGGGGTGGGGAGGGGGCACTTAAATAAAAATATGGAGGAAGCACACTGGAAAACATGGCAACACGTAGAAGCGATGAACAGCAGGAGTGTACAGAAAGACAGACACGTACATATTCCAGTGTACATATCGAAAACATTTACGTGGAGTCAAGTGGGCAGAGGAATGGAAGTGGTGGTGGTAAATGGAGAGAAAAGATAAATACAAGTCATTGAACGAGGGGTGCAGTGAGCCATGTTGGACTCCTGTGCAACCTTAAGCAGGCTCTTTACTCTTTTGGATTGTGGTTTCTTCATCTGAGAGAAGAGAGTGCATAGTCGGGGTCTCAAAAGGAGATAGTAAGCCCATAAACTAGCTAATCTGAGGAGAGTTTAGTAAAAGGTCTAGTTACAAGGTGTGGACGGAGGGTAGAAAAGCCACTGGCCTCAGTGGTGAGAGGGAGAGCTAGTCATGGAGAAGCACCTCCCAGTCCAAGGTCTGAGGCGGAGAGAGGCCTAACCGGAGCTGGCATTTTTAGTCTGGGGACACATCGGCCCTTGATGACTCCACAGATAGTGAGCCGCCCTGGCTTTTTCTCTCCTCCCTCCCTCACTCTTCTGCTGGAGCCCCCCACTGGCCAAACCCAACTGTATTGGTCAGGGTTCTCCAGATAAATGAAACCACACATCTCCAGGATGTGTGTATATGTCTGAAAACTCAGGAAAGAGCCCAAAGGCAGTCTGCTACAGAAATCCCTCTTGCTCAGGGGAAGTCAGTCTTCTGTTCTACTCAAGCCTTCAACTGATTGGATGAGGCCCACCGCATTATGGAGGGCAATCTGCTTTACTGAAACCCCATTGACTGAGATGTAAATCTCATCCCAAAACAGCCTCATAGAAGCATCCAGAATCATGTCTGACCAAATACGTGGCCTGGCCAAGGTGACACATAACATTAACCATCACACCAACAGAAGCCAGAATGCAAAGGAGTCCTTCAATGCAGCCCAAGCAGCTCCACTTTCGAGAACACAAGGCAAGGAAAAGTATGGGGATTAGATCTGGAGGGGCAAACAGAAAATCTGACATGGAAGGTTGAGACCATATCAGAGCTTGCAAACTAGTGGTCCCCAGCCCACAGTCAGGTTTTTTTACCTTCTTTCATGAGTTTTAACCTATTAATTACTTGCTAATATTTTAAATTCAGGACATTTCACATTAAAACTCGGATTTATGCTTCTCTTGGAAAAGAAAATACCAGATGATCTGGCAATATGAGACCTCATTGCTGACAGGAGAACTTAAGCTGGAGGGTGAACTCTCTTGTTTGCCACAGTCCCCACCACTCCTTCATGTCTTACCCTGGCTCTCTTCATTTTACTTGTTTAAATTATATATATGGTTCCCATTCTGTTTCTATTGGATGGTGCTGTCTATTTGGGAAGACTTTAGCCACCTCTCATATTCTCAAGCAACTAGGTGGCAGTGACATTCTACACGCGCAGTCTACAAACTTTAATGACTAACATTCTATGGACCTCTGATTCTGACTCTAGATCTGAGGGCTTACCACTTCCTCTTCCTTTTTCTGTCTTATGGCTCTGAATCCTCTACCCAGAAATTCTTCAACAAAGTTGATTCTATTTTGGTGATTCAGAAACTCCCTTCAGTTGTTGTGGGCTTTGGAGTCCGGCCAGCCTTATATAGGCAAAAGTGACTGCCTACGTGTGCTAAGTTGAAACTATCTAGTGCCCTTTTCTTCCCTGTGCCCCCATCCTCCCAAACCTTACAAATCAACCAGCAGC